AACAATGCTACAGTCAGTTATTCTCCTTTGAAAATGTGCGTTCCGGGCCGGAATGTCAGTCTCTGTTTTGATTTGTGAAACCGCCCACTGCCAGTTTACCCAATTGTATTTCGGCACCCCGGGTTGCCAGTTGGCGGAAAACACAGCATATTTCCTTTCATTCATCGTCAAGTGCGCTCGTTCCTGTTGGTGTCGTCAATCTGGCAACCTGCGTGTGCGTCAAGTCTGAGGAGGAGGGGCAGGGGCCGGGTGAAAAAAACGCTCTCCAATATTTTGAATTTGGACTGCAATACCTAGTTCAACCACTCGGTGTCAATCCTACATACAGCACCTTTAAATTTAATATTTATAAAAGCAAAAAGGCCTCTACTAAGAGATATCCCCATCAATTGCCTTTACCCATGATGACTATCAAAATACATAATGCCTTGCTCCGTGTGTGTGTATGTTTGTATCTATCTATCTATTAGGGTTGGGCCGATAGACGATGCCATCGTCCATCGCCGATGGCTGATAGACATCACGATGTTAAGACAGCATCGTGATCCCCTCCCATACCCCCTGCTATCCACCTCATCCCAATACCGTGTTCGGAAAGAAAATGACGTGTAGGTGGAACTCCTAAAGGGAATAAATACGAGATGGGAGGAAAATATATATTTCAATATTTTTCCTCGCAGTTATATCATTGAGTAATTATACTACATATATATTTCGGGCATCAGGGAGCCGCTATTATACCTGACATTAAATGCATACCTGGCTTTTAAATGCACATTCGCTTTTTAGTTTCACTTTCACTTTCGAGATTCGCGACTGCACGTACTCTGTTTATTAGGGCTGGGTAAAAAATATCGATATCTTGATTATAATCGATTCTCAGTTTTACGAAACGACATCGATTCTTAAATCCCAAGAATCGATTATTCTAGCCTGTTTTCAGTTAATGGACGGAAAATTGAAGGGCACCTCCCATCCAATAAATTGCAATAAGCATTGTGCTTTGGTACTTTTAATATGAAACAAAGTCTCAGATTTCAAATTTTGTCCATTGTATTGCAGTATTCAAACAATGCCGTTTTGGCGCTGTTTTGTGGAGTGATCGCTGTAGCACCTCAATTCAATAAAAGCGGCAGCGCGAGGCGCACGTGAATTGATCATCTCCTCCACATTAATACCAGTTTCTGCACAAAATAAACATGACTAAACATCCGAAGGTAAGTTAAAAGAAAGAGTACAATTTTACAATCCATATCCTGTCTCCTGTAATCGCTCAATCAGTGTTTCAGCCGCGCAAAGACGTCATAACGGCTTGTAAACAATGTTACGTAATAGGACTGCACGATATATCGAAATTATCGAAATATCGCAAATATAAATATCGTAATATACATATCGCAACGGCGTGCGATATCATTATCATTTTAATAATAGGCTACTTAAATCAAAACGTTGCAAAAAGTCAAAGTTTTAGTTCGACGCATAGCAGAGAATTGCTTGACGTTAAAAAGAGTTAAGTGCAATAAGTTGCAGAAAACAACTCTTTGCCGTCTCGTCTTGCTGTCTGACTCACACCTGAAGCGCGCGCACAAGCCGCGTCTCGCACAGCGTATCTTCAGTTCTGCCGCACACGTGCAAAGCGCGCGCACACACAGAGAGACTCATTTTAGACCGAGTTGATTCGTCTTTCGCATCTCATGTTTGAACAGACACATACACACAGAATT